TGAGTAGCTGGTATTACAGGTGCCTGCCACCATGCCTGGCTAATTTTTGTATTTTTAGTAGAGAAGGGGTTTCACCATTTTGGCCAGGCTTGCCTCAAACTCCTGGCCCCCGCCCACCTCGACCTCCCAAAGTGCTGGGATTACAGATATGAGCCACCTCGCCTGGCAGAAGACATACTTTAGATAGAAGAGAAATTGAAAAGACAAAGTCTTTTGTCTTTTGGTGGCTCACGCCTGTAATTCCAGCACTTTGGGAACCCAAGGCAGAAGGACTGCTTCAGCCCAGGAGTTTGAGACCAGCTTGGGCAACAGCACAAGACTCGGTCTCTACAGATACTTTTAAAAATTAGCTGGGCATGGTGGTTTTATTATTATTATTTTTTTAATTTATAGCAAGTTAGGAATAGAAAGAGTAAATATGTTCAGCTGGGTGCAGGTGGCTCATGCCTGTAATCCCAGCACTTTGGGAGGCCAAGGTGGGAGGATCACTTGAGTCCAGGAGTTTGAGACCAGTCTGGGCAACATAGGGAGACCCCGTCTCTACAAAATAAAAAAATTAGCCAGGCATGGTGGTCCCAGTTACTTGGGGGGTTGAAGTGGCAGGATCGCCTGAGCCTGGGAAGTTGAGGCTGTAGTAAGCTATGTACCACTGTACTTCAGCCCCCACAACAGAGCAAGACCCTGGACCTTGTCTCAAAAAAAAAAAAAAGTTCAATGGTGAAGTGTTAGAAGCTTTCATTTTCTGATTAGGAATCAGATGGGGATGCCCAGAATCACTATTTCCAGTCATCTTGTTCTGCAGGTCCTAGCTGGTGCATTAAAACAAGAAATAAGAGATACAAGAACCAGAAAAGGATAAACCAAACTGTCATTGTTTTCACATGATACGGTTGTACCTATATAATATATCAAAACATTTATAGACAAATTAAGAATTAACAAGCTAGCTTACCAACTTGCTGGATCAATAAACAAAAATTCAATTGCTCAATTGCTTTTTGAACTCTCTGGGAAACAGGAAATGAACAAAAATTTCCATTTTCTATGACATCAAAAAAATAACAATACTAACAATACAGTGAGCAAAAATTGTGCAAGAGACTTCTCTTGTGTTCTAGTGGAATGTGAAAATGGAGGCAAAGAGGTGGAGTCCACGCTGGCTGTGCAGACCTGCCCAATTGTCCAATGCATCTGAATGTCAGGTTCACTAGTATTGGAGGGTGTCAGTTCAGGGTATTCCCTCAGGAATTCAGAGAGCTAAGCCTCATGGAACTGGGAAGGCCCAGAAAGTAACGGGACACACCTGGCAGGCACTGAGCTTAAGAGGCTGCTTGTTGTAGGGGTTCAGGGTCCACAGCTACTCTCCATGCTCATATCTCTGATGTCCTGTTGCCCTGAGTTGTTTTATTCATCCACTGAGCTTTATCTAACTCCCCTCAGTGGCCTCTCTGAACCCCAGAGACTCTGTCCAGGCTGAATCTCTGTGCTCCCTGCAAGACTTTACTGAGCTTTATGGAGCTTAGGGGTCTGCAAACGTTTTCTGTAAAAGGCAAGAGAGTAAATGTTTTACGGTTTGCAAGCATTATGGTTTCTGTCACAACTATTGACTTTGACTTTATGGCACAGAAGCAGTCAAAGACAAGGGCTGTGTTTCAACAAAACTTCGTTAAAATTGGCCAGGCGCGGTGGCTCATGCCTGTAATCTCAGCACTTTGGGAGGCTGAGGCAGGCAGATCACCTGAGGTCAGGAGTTCGAAACCAGCCTGGTCAACATGGTGAAACCCCGTCTCTACTAAAAATGCAAAAATTAGCCGGGTGTGGTGGTGGGCGCCTGTAATCCCAGCTACTTGGGAGGCTCAGGCAGGAGAATCGCTTGAACCTGGGAAGTGGAGGTCACAGTAAGCTGAGATCCTGCCACTGCACTCCAGCCTGAGTGATAAGAGTGAGACTCTGTCCCAAAAACCAAAAAACAACAATAAAAAAAAACTTCGTGAAAACAGAAATTCAAATTTCATATAATTTCCCATGTCAAAATAATAACTTTCTTTTGATTTTTTTTTTCAACCATTAAAAAGTGTAAAAACCAGCTGGGCGCAGTGGCTCACACCTGTAATTCCAGCACTTTGGGAGGCCAAGACGGGTGGATCACGAGGTCAGGAGATCGAGACCATCCTGGCTAACATGGTGAAACCCCGTCTCTACTAAAAATACAAAAAAAAATTAGCTGGGCGAGGTGGCGGGCGCCTGTAGTCCCAGCTACTCGGGAGGCTGAGGCAGGAGAATGGCGTGAACCCGGGAGGCGGAGCTTGCAGTGAGCCGAGATCGCGCCACTGCACTCCAGCCTAGGCGACTGAGCAAGACTCCGTCTCAAAAAAAAAAAAAAAGTGTAAAAACCATTCTTGGCCCACAGGCCATTCAAAAAACAAACAGCAGGCACACCAGCTGCAGGCCTTGGGTTGTTAATTCCTACTTTAGCTGGCCACCCTCCAACAGCAGAAGGTTGGGCTGGGCGGTTTCATGGAGGTTTCATGGAGTTAGAATAAAAGGGATCTTGGGAACATTGGTGGTTCCAAGTGCTGCTGGGAATAAGGCTTCGGAAGACATAGTTGTTTTTTTTTTTTTTTTTTGAGACAGAGTCTCCCTCTTGTTGCCCAGGCTGGAGTGCAATGGCGCAATCATGGCTCACTGGAATCTCTGCCTCCTGGGTTCAAGCGATTCTCGTGCCTCAGCCTACTGAGTAGCTGGGATTACAGGCGTGTGCCACCATACCCGGCTAATTTTGTATTTTTAGTAGAGACGGGGTTTCTCCATGTTAGTCAGGCTGGTCTCAAACTATTGACCTCAGGTGATCCACCCGCCTTGGCCTCCCAAAAGTCTGGGATTACAGGCATGAGCCACCCGTGCCCAGTCTGGAAGATGTAGTTTTAAGCCTGTCTTTAATAACCTTCACTTCTCTCACCCTTAAGGTGAGAGAAGTGAAGAACTTCTTATCAGTGGCATTTGCAGCCCTCTCAGACCTAACCCCCATCTGCAGGGCTACTTTCAACTCCTTGTGCTTCCCTTTGGGGTTCCTGAGCTATAGTTCCTCTAGTGGGGCTCTGTGCCTTTCCATGCTTTCCATGTCATGGCCTGGCTAGCCATGGTCCTAAGACTGCTCCCTTTCCCAAGCTGAGCTGAGGGCCTCTGCTGCTTCTCCCATCCTCCTATGGTTCACACTTGGCCTGCTGTAGCCTTCAGTGTGTTGAGGGCTCCCAGTCCTGTGTATGCACCTCTGCATCCCCAGGATCTCCAAGGATGGAGCTTGTGGACACAGGTAGGCGGTGTCCTGAAAGGCTTCCTGGAAGAGAAAGTGTAATTTCTTTTTTTTTTTTTTTTTTTGAGACGGAGTCTCACTGTGCCACCTAGGCTGGAGTGCAGCGGTGTGATCTCGGCTCACTGCAACCTCTGCTGCCTGGGTTCAAGCGATTCTCCTGCCTCAGCCTCCCAAGTAGCTGGGACTACAGGCGGGCGCTACCATGCCCGGCTAATTTTTGTATTTTTAGTAAAGACAGGTTTCACCATAGTGGCCAGGCTCGTCTTGAACTCCTGACCTCGTGATCCGCTGGCGTCGGCCTCCCAAAGTGCTGGAATTACAGGCATGAGCCACCGCACCCGGCCCTTTTTTTTTTTTTTTTTTTTGAGATGGAGTTTCTCTTTTGTTGCCCAGGGTGGAGTGCAATGGCGTGGTCTTGGTTCACTGAAACCTCTGCCTCCCGAGTTCAAGCGATTTTCCTGCCTCAGCCTCCCAAGTAGCTGGGATTACAGGCAAGCGCCACCACGCCCAGCTAATTTTTAGTAGAGAGGCGGTTTCACCATGTTGGCCAAGCTGGTTGCGAACTACTGACCTCGGGTGACCCACCCACCTCAGCCTCCCAAAGTGTTGGGATTACAGGTATGAGCCACTGCGCCCAGCAGAGAAAGTGGAATTTCTATGCTGGTGTAAGATTTGAGATTTTCCCATTTAGAAAGTCTTCAGGAAGCAGCTGAGTCTTGACACTGAAAGGATCCAGCTCAGGGTAAGTCCATCCACAGGAGTGATTCCTGCTTTGGATTTGGGTCCTAGGGGTGAGATCACATCCCTGCTCCATTTCTGGAGCAGAAAGGGAGCCAGCGTAGCAAGGGCTCTGAGTAGAGGGACCCTGGGAGTCACTAAAGCCACTTCCCTGTTGATATAATGTACACACTGGCTTTCATCCGCTCACAGGACAGTGAGAGTTTGTGAATGCTCTCTGTGAACTGGGGAGCAGATTTTTAATGACGTAGGTCCCTCTGCTTAGAAGGAGAGAGTATGTTAAGGGATCACGCTCCCTCTGGTTTGCGGTTTTGGTCAGGAATAGAGCACCCAATGCCCCTTCTTATAGACTTCTCCCAGCCATAGGCTTTTTGCAGACCATAATGAAAGGGAGAAAGGATATAAAATCGGGATGATGATGGCAGGCATGGAGAAGTTGACAGGGACAAGGAAGAGGAAAGCAAGGGACGTCCTTTTTCTTTGGTATTCAACACATGAACAAAGCTTGTTAACGAATGTAGACTGGGTAACAACAGGGCTGGTGAGGGAGGACGACGTGGGTGGCTGTGGGGAAACTCTTCCCAAGCATCCTAGGGGTGGGCCAGGAAGGGGACTAGATGGACATCTACAGGGCACAGAGCAGGGAGCGGCTATTCTCTCCTGGAGGGGCTGTGGGTCCAGCAGGCTTTCGGATGACGCCTTGGAAAGGCAAGGACAGCTTGCCGACTGGAGGGCAGGCAAAAGGGCGGAGACAGGCCAGAGACGGCGGCCGCAGTTCACTGACCAGGAGTATGGCCTAGGGGTTCTGGTGCCAAGGCTGAAGGGGAACAACTTGGCCAGCCGCTCTCTGGCCGGCGTCTTCACGCGGCCTCCAAGAGCTCCTGTTGCCCTGCAGTGGCTCCTAGAGACTCCCTCCTTCCCACGTCCAAATAGCTGCAGGAGGGAAGTGGGAGAAAAAAAGCGAACCAGCTTGAGAAAGGGCTTGACGTGCCTGCGTAGGGAGGGCGCATGTCCCCGTGCTCCGTGTACGTGGCGGCCGCAGGGGCTGGAGGGGGTCCCTCCCGTAGCGACTCCAGTCTCAGAGTGCAAAACGGTACGCCCGCAGAGTCGCCCCAGGTGCTTGGGTGTTGTGTGATTGACGCGGGGAAGGAGGGGTCAGCCGATCCCTCCCCAACGCTCCATCCCATCCCTGAGGATTGGGCTAGTACTCGCGTCGTCTCCGACAGGTCAGAGCCGGTCCCCGGGTGGGGTCGCTGCAAAAACCCTGCTCTGGCCGCAGCCGGAGAGGCGGAGCCCCGCGGGGAGGGGGCGGGCGGGGGCGGGACCGCCGAGACAGGCCTGGAAACTGCTGGAAAGCCGCAGCGCCGCCGCGCCTTCCGCCGCATGCCGGCAAAGAGTCCCGCCGGCCCCGGCCGGCGCCCTCCCCCCACGCTGAGATACCCCACACTGCGAACCCTCCGCCCTTCCTCTGCTCCTGGGAGAGTCAGGATCTGGGGCTACCCAAGGTCGGGTCCCGAATGCCAGTCCCTCTGTCGGGATGCGAAATGTGTAGGGCATATGCTAGGAAGAAGATTGGGTATGGGAGCAGCGGTCGGAGTGGTTAGCTGCCTCGGCTCTTTTTAGGTGTTTCCCCCGGGCTCTGTCCTTGGGTGTGGGGACTCCTGCCTCACAGGTTTTTAGGGAGGTCAATGGATTCCTCGCCCGTAGAGACACCGTATATGCCAAATGAGCACTCCTTATCCCAGCTCTTGATGGGGTCAGGTCCTAGACATGAAAATATGGGGCTGTGATCACAAGCAAACGTGTGGGTGGATCCGTTGCTTGGGTTCTTCCCCGCCCCCTCCTTTTTTCGGACCATGACGTCAAGGTGGGCTGGTGGCGGCAGGTGCGGACTTGACAAGCATGCTCCTTTAAGGCGGAGGGATCCACGGGAGGGCGGCTGTTCTGTGCTTCGCCTTATATAGGGAGACTTGGGGCACGCAGTAGCTCTCTCTAGTCACTCCGGCGCAGCGTTTTGTGCCTGGTAGTCATCAGAAAGCAAGCCCACGTTCTTCTCTAATACGTGTAAGCCTTTTCTTTTCAAGGTAAGGCTGAATTCTTCGTTAGGCTTCTTTAGTGCTCTTTCGTGTTGCTCTTGTTTTTTTCTGTCCTTTAGGGAGCCTAGATACCGGGGTGGCTTGTGGATAACGCCCTGGATTTTTATAGGGTGAGGGTAGTGGTAGGTGAGGGCTCTTGAGTTTTCCTCGGTTTTCTCTAGTGTGCTTGGGCGGTGGGGCTTTCTCTTGGCTCCTCCTAGCCGTAGCGAGGTGGGCTGTGGGGCTGGGGCAGTGCGCGGCGGGCAGCTGCACGTGGTGGCCGCGCGGCCCGGGACGCTGCCATTTTTGCCCCTCCACTTCCGGACGCGGCTATAGGGCGTCGGAGGGGGACCGCAGGATGGCGGGGGTGCCTGCTCGGGTGACTCAGCACGGCCCTGTGGGACTGGCTTTGCCACATCTTTTATCGGACGCGTTGTTAAAGCCGCCTTGGGTGCTTTGTTTCTGTGAGGGTTCATGGTGTGGGAGGAGCGCTTTCGGTCTCCAGCACCCCATACTCCCTCCTTCCAGATCTTTATTGCAGTCCCGGTGGAGGAGGGTTGGGGAGGGGGGCAGGTTCTGGAAGATTCATGGGCTCCCTCCTCCGCCCGTCCTCTAGAGCTGAGATTGTTCTGGAAGCTTCTGGATTCTGGCGCCCCGCCCCAGTGCCCGGATGCTGGGGCGAAGGAGGGTGCACGGCGGCGCCCCCTCCTCGCGTGGTCCCTGCCGACGCATGTCCGGCAGTGACGAGTGTCGGCCTGGTGGTTACGGCCACCATCTTCCTTCTGTTGGGTTTGGGCCTGTTCTGTAATTTTGTCCTGTGAAGGGGTCGTAGTGGAGCTTTTGGCTTATCGATTCTTTGTCCGGATTTAATTGCCCCTCGGGCGGGTATCCTCTGGATCCCAGGTTATTCCTCCCTGCAGTGTAGGGTAGGAGTGTCCCGCCCTTGGGCTGGTCTTAGGAAGACATCTCAGGGGGAGCAGTTTAAAGTTAGTGCCAAACTAGTTACTTTGATCTCCAAATGAAGAACTGTAGGTAGCGATTTTCACATTTAAATTTGTGTAAGGATTATCTGGGATCTCTGGATACCTGGGTTGGACCAGCATTATGAGTTTCTGCCATACTACCGGATGACGCTGAGACTGCTGGTCACCACTCTTAAGTAGCTGGGTTCTGTGACATTTGGTTGAAGAACATTCAGCTTATTTTCTTTTTCCTTCTGAATTTTCAGGCTTCCCACTTAGTGTGTAGCCTGAGATCTTTTAAGAGAATGCTTTTTCGGTCTTTTCGGAAGGGATAGTACTCAGGTCAAACCAGTCTCAACTCTTAAGGTCCTAACAAATGAGATGACCTTTAGGATTTTAAAATGTGAGGCCTTCATGTTTTGTAATTAATGATCATTTTTATTTTAGATGCCTGAGGAAGTGCACCATGGAGAGGAGGAGGTGGAGACTTTTGCCTTTCAGGCAGAAATTGCCCAACTCATGTCCCTCATCATCAATACCTTCTATTCCAACAAGGAGATTTTCCTTCGGGAGTTGATCTCTAATGCTTCTGATGTAAGTGCTGTGGTTTCTATATTTGGTGTGTTTATTTTTTTGACACTCTTCGTAGAGAGGAAAGGAGTGGTTTGGCCTTTGTTGGGGACTACTATTGAAGGGGGTAAACTTGCAACTATTCCAAAAAGATTTGTCTTATTCTCTGGCCATCTTGAACTTGAAAGGGAAGTGACTATGTCCAGAAAAAGTGGGCTCATGTAACTAACTGTAGTTCTAAAGCCTCAAGATAAGGGGCAATCAGATTTGAGGCTGAGAGAGGTAAACCAAGATTTTCTTTGAAGACACGGGCTTTAAGAAAGCAAAAGTGACCGAGCGTGTTGACTCACACCTGTAACGCCAAGGCAGGAGGATCACTTGAGCCTAGGATTTCGAGGGCAACCTGGGCAACAGCCAGACCTTGTCTCTGCAAAAAATTAAATATTAGTTGAGCACAGTGGCATGTGCCTGTAGTCCCAGCTACTTGGGAGGCTGGGGTGGAGGATGGCTTGAACCAGGGAGGTCAAGGCTGCAGTGAGCTGTCATCCTTGCTACTACTGCACTGTAGCTTGGGCAACAGAGCAATTGCCTGTCTCGGAGAGAGCAAAAGTAAGTTGCTGTTTGTATTCGTTTCAGGCCTTGGACAAGATTCGCTATGAGAGCTTAACAGACCCTTCGAAGTTGGACAGTGGTAAAGAGCTGAAAATTGACATCATCCCCAACCCTCAGGAACGTACCCTGACTTTGGTAGACACAGGCATTGGGATGACCAAAGCTGATCTCATAAATAATTTGGGAACCATTGCCAAGTCTGGTACTAAAGCATTTATGGAGGCTCTTCAGGTACTGCAGTTCTGTAGGCATACACCATTCATATTCATCAGTGTTCTTTATTTTTTTTGCTGCTTTAAATTTTGTGTTTGACTTTACAAAAACTTGTTGGCAGGCTGGTGCAGACATCTCCATGATTGGACAGTTTGGTGTTGGCTTTTATTCTGCCTACCTGGTGGCAGAGAAAGTGGTTGTGATCACAAAGCACAACGATGATGAACAGTATGCTTGGGAGTCTTCTGCTGGAGGTTCCTTCACTGTGCGGGCTGACCATGGTAAGTTAGCTTTTCTGTTACAAGGTAGCTGGGTTAGAGTTTTGTGGGCTCACCAGTAGCAGAAATTTTGAGCATCCTGTCAAGCAGTTCTTCATAGCAGTTCCGCTAATACTTTATTAATTTGGTGAAGTCTCAACTGCATATACTTTCGCCCTGTTACACGCTTATGATTGACTCTTCTAGGTGAGCCCATTGGCAGAGGTACCAAAGTGATCCTCCATCTTAAAGAAGATCAGACAGAGTACTTGGAAGAGAGGCGGGTCAAAGAAGTAGTGAAGAAGCACTCTCAGTTCATAGGCTATCCCATCACCCTTTATGTGAGTATGGACTTTTAAACCTTTTACACTTAGCCTGCAGGATGTTTCCTGTTCTGGAGAATCTCGTGGTCCCTGGCTTCTTCTTTTCCTGGTGTTTTGTACTCCAAGGCTAATTTCTGTTTTTCTTACTTAGTTGGAGAAGGAGCGAGAGAAGGAAATTAGTGATGATGAGGCAGAGGAAGAGAAAGGTGAGAAAGAAGAGGAAGATAAAGATGATGAAGAAAAGCCCAAGATCGAAGATGTGGGTTCAGATGAGGAGGATGACAGTGGTAAGGATAAGAAGAAGAAAACTAAGAAGATCAAAGAGAAATACATTGATCAGGAAGAGCTAAACAAGACCAAGCCTATTTGGACCAGAAACCCTGATGACATCACCCAAGAGGAGTATGGAGAATTCTATAAGAGCCTCACCAATGACTGGGAAGACCACTTGGCAGTCAAGGTGAGAAGCCTTTGCATGTTGGGTCAACATGCAAATATGGAGAGGAATAAGTGGAAGAGTGTTGGCAGGTAATAGACACATGGAACGTGTCCAGCTGATAACAGAAATGTGAGAGCCATGTATTTTCACTTACTGATTACCCGGTCATAGTGAAGTGCCATCCTTCCTAATGACCTCACTTTCTCTAAAGGAAATCTGGGTAATGTCTATTGGCAGCCTTACACATCCAGAGTTCTGATCAGAGCGGACTGTTTCTATATACAGCTAGTATTCGTCTAGATCGTTGAGGGCATTAAGGCTCAGTTTTCTCGGGAACTGCCTGTGTGTGCGCTCTATCCGTTAGGCTTATGGGGAGGATCATTATTCCATTTTTAGGTAATTTGGTGTTGGGGCTAAAAGGCCCTCTTTTGAAATGTATCACTTATTTTTTGTTTTTTTCCAGCACTTTTCTGTAGAAGGTCAGTTGGAATTCAGGGCATTGCTATTCATTCCTCGTCGGGCTCCCTTTGACCTTTTTGAGAACAAGAAGAAAAAGAACAACATCAAACTCTATGTCCGTCGTGTGTTCATCATGGACAGCTGTGATGAGTTAATACCAGAGTATCTCAGTGAGTATCTCCTTGGCCTAATTTAGTTGGGTGAAGTCTTGGGAGGTTTTCGGCATTCTGCCAGAATATCCTAGGTTAAGGATTTTCTGCAATGCATAGTAAGTATAAGGGTTCAGGAGGCTATTAGAGCCTTCTGTTTGAATCTGGGTACCAGCTCTGGTCTAGCTATTTTTACTGAGCTTTCTTATCCTGGTTGATGGCAGATTTTATTCGTGGTGTGGTTGACTCTGAGGATCTGCCCCTGAACATCTCCCGAGAAATGCTCCAGCAGAGCAAAATCTTGAAAGTCATTCGTAAAAACATTGTTAAGAAGTGTCTTGAGCTCTTCTCTGAGCTGGCAGAAGACAAGGAGAATTACAAGAAATTCTATGAGGCATTCTCTAAAAATCTCAAGGTAAAGAGGCAAATGCTTATTCCCTTTACCACTTTCTTAGTAATTACTAACAAATTTTTCTATTCACATAGAAAGTGAATTGTAGTTAAGTTGGATTGTTTTTTCTCTTCCCACTCTTCAAGCTTGGAATCCACGAGGACTCCACTAACCGCCGCCGCCTGTCTGAGCTGCTGCGCTATCACACCTCCCAGTCTGGAGATGAGATGACATCTCTGTCAGAGTATGTTTCTCGCATGAAGGAGACACAGAAGTCCATCTATTACATCACTGGTGCGTTGGTTCTGATGGAAGCCTTTTTGGAGGAGTGGGGAGCACATTTCAGGGCTACCTAGGAACTGGCAGTATGAGGCATTTTAGTCACTGAGTCCATTTAATTACCCTACAGGTGAGAGCAAAGAGCAGGTGGCCAACTCAGCTTTTGTGGAGCGAGTGCGGAAACGGGGCTTCGAGGTGGTATATATGACCGAGCCCATTGACGAGTACTGTGTGCAGCAGCTCAAGGAGTTTGATGGGAAGAGCCTGGTCTCAGTTACCAAGGAGGGTCTGGAGCTGCCTGAGGATGAGGAGGAGAAGAAGAAGATGGAAGAGAGCAAGGCAAAGTTTGAGAACCTTTGCAAGCTCATGAAAGAAATCTTAGATAAGAAGGTTGAGAAGGTAAGCCATTCTGGAGCTAGGATATATTTTGTAACATACCTTTGAGGTGGGCTCCCTCACAATCATGTTTCTACACAATTAGTGGCTTGAGGCACCCTATTTACTGTTTGGAGCCTTCTTGGCTCTTGTTCTCTCCCCTAGCCAGGTTTAAGGCTATTTTAATAAAATTTGGCACAGATAAGGCATTGCTTCAGTTAACTTGTGAGAGTAGATAAAATATTATTTTCTTCTTTTTTTGACTGGATCTCAGCTCACTGCAAATTCAAGTCTCCTGAGTGGCTGGGATTACAGACATGTGCCACCACACCCGGTTAATTTTTTGTATATTTTGTAGAGAGAGGGTTTTGCCAGGTTGGTCTCAAACTCAAGTGATCGGCCCCACCTCCTCCTCCTCCCCCTGCTGGAATTACAGGCTTGACAGTGTCCGTTTTCTCTTTCAAAGTGGTCACTGATCTAATGCAAATCTAAGGCTTTTGTGATTGTCCACAGGTGACAATTTCCAATAGGCTTGTGTCTTCACCCTGCTGCATTGTGACCAGCACCTATGGCTGGACAGCCAATATGGAGCGGATCATGAAAGCCCAGGCACTTCGGGACAACTCCACCATGGGCTATATGATGGCCAAAAAGCACCTGGAGATCAACCCTGACCACCCCATTGTGGAGACTCTGCGGCAGAAGGCTGAGGCCGACAAGAATGATAAGGCAGTTAAGGACCTGGTGGTGCTGCTGTTTGAAACCGCCCTGCTCTCTTCAGGCTTTTCCCTTGAGGATCCCCAGACCCACTCCAACCGCATCTACCGCATGATCAAGCTAGGTCTAGGTAAGCAGCTTTGGTACTTGATGTGGCAAGGAGTTTGTGCAACTAGGCTCCTGTCTGGATTTGACTTAATGCTATTTAATCAAGTCTTACATGGCTTAATTTTACTTTAGGTATTGATGAAGATGAAGTGGCAGCAGAAGAACCCAGTGCTGCAGTTCCTGATGAGATTCCCCCTCTTGAGGGCGATGAGGATGCGTCTCGCATGGAAGAAGTCGATTAGAAGTTCATAGTTGGAAAACTTGTGCCCTTGTATAGTGTCCCCGTGGCTCCCACTGCAGCCTCAAGTGCCCCTGTCCCACCTGGCTCCCCCTGCTGATGTCTAGTGTTGTTTTTCCTCTCCTGTCCTTGTGTTGAAGGCAGGAAACCAAGGGTGTCAAGCCCCATTCCCTCTCTACTCTGACAGCAGGATTGGATGTTGTGTGTTGTGGTTTATTTTATTTTCTTCATTTTGTTCTGAAATTAAAGTATGCAAAATAAAGAATATGCCGTTTTTATACACTTTTGCTCTCCCTTGTGAAGTGGATGTTAATTCTTCCCTAGCTTCTCTATCCCCCCAGCTCTTGCTGTTTTCATGAGCACAGCAAGTTAAGCTGGTTTTGTAGCTAAGATACAGAATACCAGTGAGTCTTAAGAGTGCACACACTGAAGCCAAAGGCAGTTTTTCTGAAAAACTACCATATAATAATGCCTTTTCAGTCAACCAAAACACAGGACCAAGCCCATTACAGTAATTTAATTTAATAAAATAAAATTATAAGAGCAAAAAGTTACATTTCTAAAGTACCAAAACCTACAACAGGCTCATGGAGTAGAGCCTAGGGATCCAGGAGCATAGGAGGTGGTGGTGCTGGGCAGGGATCTGCATCCCCTTTCCACAACACAGCACCATCTTCACTTCACCCCCCTGGGAAAGCAGCATTGGAGCCTACACCGCTTGTGCTTTTCTCACCAGGGTAAGAAATGCAGGTATTTGCAGAGGGGAGTCTGGAAGGCAGCAGAGCACAGCTAGGGCAAGACTTAAGGAAACTTCTGGGAGGGGGAACTGTGGAACCTACCTATGCCCTCTTGACCCCAAACTCCCCCTCACTGAGGACTATCTCTACCCTGGGGCTCAGAATAAACTGCCTGCTGGAAGATGGGTGACTTAAGGCAAAAGGGAAGGCTGCCTCCTGGGCTCCCCACCCCCTGCTGCAGAGTCTATGATACTGAGAAAACACCTGCATTTTGCCCTTTGAGCCAGCTCCCTCGGGTTACAGTAGGAGAAAATGGTGAGAAGACTATTTCACTTCACCCCTCAGGCCCTCTCCACCCTCAAACCTTCTGCACAGAAGACTCAACAGGCACAGCCTTCTTTCCCCGTTGCTTTAGACGGCCCCGCGCGTAGACTCTGAGTAGGAGGGCAGCAAAGACCACAGCCACTCCCAGCCCTCCCACCACAGTGACAGTGTGGCCATAGAGAAGGCAGGAAAGAAGGATGGCAAAGGCCTGGCGGAGGGTCATGATGATGGTGAAGACAGCAGCCCCGAACTGCCCAATGGTGTAAAAGATGAAGAGCTGGCCACATGCAGAGCAGATGGAGAGTAGCAGGGCATGGGCAGCAAACTCACTGTGTCGCCCCATGAAGCGGGTTCCCTCCAGGAGGGCCCCCTGTTCTAGCAGTGAGCCTACTGTGAAGAGGCAGGAGAAGAAATTGACCCCAAACATCATCTGCACCGATGACATCTTATAGGCAAATAGGGCATCCTGCCAGTTTGAAGTGAAGCTGTCAAAAGCAATATAACCTGCCAGTAAGATGAGGCCTGAGAGTGTGGTGGCCGGAGAGCTGCGGGGCTCTGGTCCGCTGGATAGCAGAAACATGCTGACCCCGATGGAGATGAGGGTGGCTGTCAGGTACTCCCAGTGTTCGTAGCTGCGCCGAGACACAAGCTTTCCCATCAGCATGACAGGGATCACCTTAGAGGCCTTGGCCAGCACCTGGGTGGGGAAGCTGACGAACTTAAGAGCTTCGTATTGGCACCAGCTGCTAAGCACATTGGACAGACTCGCAAAGGAGTACCGGTACATGGGTGCCCCATGCCGGGGCTGCTTGCAGAGGACACAGGAGAGGCCAGCCACAATCAGTGCCAGCACTCGGTTCATTAGCACCAGGAACTGCGAGTCTGTAAAGCGCTCACCCGGTGATGTGGCTGTGGCCCCATAGCTACGGGTCATCACTCTTTCCTGCAGCACACCCCAAGTCAGGTAAGATACCTGTTGGGGAAGGTAGAGGCAAAGGAGACAATAAGCAAGATAATGAAAAGGTAGACAAAAATGGACTTCTCCCTCTTCTTCAGGATGATGCCTAAGTGATTCAAAGGAAAATATACACTTTTTGGTTCCTCTGTAGAAGTTTCTTCTCCCAAGTCTGGATTCACCTTGTAGGGAATCAACTGTGTGTGAAAAACCAATTCAGGGAGGCAAGAACTCTCAGAATTGGGTATCTGTAGTTCAACATGGTATTCAAGGTAGAACTAGTACGCACTGCAAAATGCCATGGGGCCCGCATCTTAGCACTCTCTCACATGCAGTACTGGGGGAAGGCTGAATGGCTCCCCCACAATTTTATCAGTGGGTTTACAGTATGTGAGACACCAGTGCAGGAAGGAAGTATAATAACGGCACAGTAGAAATCACAGAGAATAGGGCAAGTCTTCTGCACCAGACATCTCGAAACAACAGTATGAACTTTCAGTACCAGTGCTGGAGAAAAGAGGAAAGAAAAGAGCATTTCCCCCAAACACCTCCAAGATGGAGGTGCAGTGTGCCTCTGGGAGCAGGACACAAAACACGCCAACTAGCAAAGCCCTGGGACTGGTAAAATGGAAACCTTCGCAGAATCCCTGCCCACCGGCATCCAACCCAGGAAGAGAGCCTGAGCCCACCTACCCACCTGGAGTCCTGTGGCACAGAAGAGCAGCTTCAGGGCCTGCCACATCGGGGTGGTCTCTGCCGCCTCTGTTCGGGGCGCCAGGGGAACCTCATCAGAGGCCTTGGGCTCATTGCCAAAGACACAAGCTTTCACCAGGGGAAAGCAGAGGCCCCTACCTGAAGAAAGCACACAAAGTCAAGCCCCAAATCTCCGTGGCACTTCCTCTTCCCCAGAGCAGCCAGCCTGCCCTGCTGTCCGGCCTACCGTCCTCCCGCCCTCTCCAAGTCATATCCCGTTTGGACTGCTGGCCAAATACCCTCCTTCCCGACCTAGCTCACTTCCCCGCCCTTTCTTCACACACCGGTCTCCAGGTAGTTCTTCCGCCTGAAGTACTGCACCAGGAGGTAGCCAGGTACCATAAAGCTGGCATAGCCAGCAGCATTCACCAAAAATCGGAAGAACCATAGCTGGGTCCATGACTCCGGAGGGGCTTCGGGAGTCTCCCCACCCGCCCCTAGGGAGGGGAACGCAGCCAGCACCACCACTGCCCACCACCTGTAAGGAAAGCGGACATAAGCATTAGGGCGCAGTTATCCCCCCCGTTCTCCAGAGGGGACTACACTGGAGTAGTGCCCGGAGTCTCCCCGCCCCCTCCGCTGCAGCTCCGGCCCGGACAAAGAGTCTCAGTCTGTCTCTCTCTCTCTCTCTCTGTCTCTTCTCTCTTCTCTCCTCCTCTCTCTCTCTCTCTCTCTCGAGGGGGGGCGAGGGGACGCCGGCGCTGGCCCGGCAGGGCTTCCTCCCTCCCCGGGGGCGGATCCGCCCCTCTAGCCACACAGGTCTCCTCTGTTCCCTCCAGCGCTAGCCCGCTGCTCAGGCCAGACGCAGCGCCCCTTCCCCCACCCTCCCCTCCACGTTCCCGGGGCGTCAGGGTACCCTGCCCCTCCGCCCGAAGCGCTCCCCAAGGAGCACAAAACCAAGCCGCACCCCCTATCCCCACTGGCTCCTATGCTGGCCGACGGCCGAGCAGCCGGGACCCCACCCGGCCCCCCGTGCAGATGTGCGGCAGTCACGTGGCCCGGGGGCTCGGTCACGTGAGCTCACCGCTGCCCTAGCCCCCACCTGGCGTCCATGGTCCAGGCCGCGTGGGGTGGAGGGGGACCGGGGAATGCGAGTCCCCGGGCCGCGCACCCCCTACGCTCCCTCCGCTCCCGCCGCCGCCTCCAGGAGCGGCCAGCGAGCCAGCGGCCAGCGGAAGTGCCGCGCTCTTCCCGCCTCCCTCCCCGCGGTCCCCTCCGCCCCTGCCGCGACCACGCAGCGCCCCGGGCCGCCGCCGGGCCACAGCGCCCCCGCGCGGCCCGGAGGCAGACGCGGCTCGGGTTCCGGGGAGCTGGGCTGCCCCTGGGCGCGGGGAGCGCCAGCCCTGAAGATGCGCCCGCCCGGCGCCTCCCCTGTGCTTCGTCATCGCCTTTGGCCTTCATAAGCGTCCCAGAGGTCATGGTGACCATTGCCATCTTGCAGACAGGACAGTGAGGCTCTGCATCCCAAGCCCCTCCTCTGTGTTAGTTTCCCCGTTTTCTGACAGAACGAAGGTGTCTCTTTCCTTTGTTGGCTGGGTAGTAATTCTGTCCCCCCACTTCCCATGACTTTCGAGGCTCTACATGGCCTCGCCAGCGTTCCTCGCCCACTCACTCACCCGCTGTGAAGCCCCGCTGGCTTGCTCTCATTTCCTCTAATTCACAGGCCTTCCCCCAAATGCTCTGCCCCCATCCCTTTACTCATCCTTACATCCCAGTTGAGATGATACTCCTCAGGCGGGGTTCCCGGACCACAAAAAGCATAACCCTCTACCGACTCCATCCTTTTCCTTCCCATTATTCTTTTCCCTTCATAGCACCCACTGCAACTTGTAAGGACATCTTTATTTGGATGTTTATGCTTTTAACGGCTGTCTCCCTCACTGGATGAGTGGTCAGCGACTGTGCTGGTTTATTGCCCCACGCTCTTCATGCCAGCATAGGGCTGACCTAGCAGGGCCCTCGAAGGTGAGGAATGGGAGGAAAAACGTGGACTCAGCTCCCTTGTGCCCAGCCTCCCTGGGTTACCCTTGTCGCCAGGCTCCTCCAGATGGCAGCCCCCAGGGCAGTGGTGAGGGCTCCAGGGCCTGTGTCCTCTCATTCTTCCTCCTCTCCTTCTATCCCTCATCATTTCCACAGCAAGGACAGGGTCTGTGCTGGACACAGAGAAAGGCCTGGGGACTACTGGCCTCTGACCCCACCCAGCAAGGTCCTACCGTGCTCAGGGCACAATTTCCTTCTCTCTACCTCCACGACAAAGCCACAGGGCAGGCCTGTCTAAAAAGCCCCAATGCACACAGACATGCATGCGCGCAAAACAGCTCTAGAAGGGAAAAGCTTTTTTTAACATCTCTTGCCATTTTAGTGTCATGTTACTGAAAGTTCCTTCCCCAGTGGCTCAGTTCAGAACCTTCCCTGTGAAGTCTTTAAACAGCAGTGTTTAAGGGTCCTCAACAGCAATAAGATGGGACACCCCTCAGGGTTCTGCTTGCTCCTATTTCAGTCTCTTCTCACTC